GCAAATGCCCAGTAGGTGAAACCAAATGCACAAAGGGTGATAGCAAATGCCCAGTAGGTGAAACCAAATGCACAAAGGGTGATGGCCAATGCCCAGTAGGAGAGAAACAGGAAGAAGTCCGCATAGAACAGGACCCCCTAATTTTGACGGAAGATCCTGAGGAGGCCCACAGAATCATGTCTGAAACATATATCACCCCCCCAATTGATCAAGAAGACGAAGAAATGGTTTTGTATGACAGTGAAATAGACAACTACGATTGGGATGATTTGGAAGATGATGACGAAAATGAAGACGAAAATGAAGACGAAAACGGTAAAAAGGCTGCAGAGGGTAAAAAGGCTGAAGAAGGTGCGGAAGGACAAAGTGCAACGGGCTCATCCAATGACACCACAACAAACAACAGCGGAGACTCTAATGTTAAAGAAGAAACCGATAATGTAGTATCCGACTTCGTGACCATTCTGAAAGAAGATAACGGAGTCGAGGAGTCCCTCAAAGGGTTAGCAGAAGACATGGCTCAATACTTTTTAAACCACTTGAACGCGGAAAATGAGAGTGCCTGATTTACTCCACGTTATAAGGTGTTGCGTAGTGTACTATGTAAGCCCTTTAGCAAAGTGGACAATTTTTTTATTTTTTTTCCGCTGCATATATCAGCGAAGGGCTACACATAATGTTATGCGCCCGTCTTTTATTCCTTGTGTTTTTTTATAAAGCATGCGCAGTTTTAAACGTTTAGAAACTTGTTTTAGCTGTGCACAGCTCACACATTAAGCATTTTACGAGATCTCGAACAGGTGTTTTTAAGTGGAGGGATATAAAAAAGGGTAAGGAGTTAAATAGAGGGGGAAAATGGAAGAAAAATGATAACGAAAAGGTGCCGCAAAAAAAAAAAAAAAAACAAACGGATTATGAATAGTAATTAGAAAAAGGCAAAAATAGGTACACAAACGATCAGGTCAAAATAACAAAATTTTTTTTTATTTTTTTTTCCCCCACAAATACACATTCCCCGTGTGCACACACATTGTTCATTTAGAGGAAATGCCTTCCGTTTCACTAAGTGTGAACTCTTAAGTTGTAAATGTTCCATTTGGTGTGTTCCGTAAACATGTCAAACGAAAGAGTTTTCTCACATCATGTTTTGTAAAAGAGAGCACTATGGGTTGGGGGTGAAGGTTCAAAAGTACGAAGCGGTTAAAATGTGTCCGCTTTGAACATTGCAAGGGGAGAGCGGTTAACAAAACAAGCAAAAAAAAAAAAAAAAAAAAAAAAAAAAAAAAAAAAAAAAAAAAAAATTGTATTACACATGTAAATATCCACGCGTATAGCCTTTTAACTGATTTAAGGTGTTCCAATGAAGGATTTTTCAAAGGTGAAGTAACCAAAGTGTGAATCGTTGCTCCATTTGGCGCCCCACCCATTCGGTTATTCGTTTCGCCCTTTAAATTTCCCATATTT